TTATCTATTTACTTTGTAACTTTATATTATGGAATGAATTTAGTTAGATAAACATTAAAAAGCGAGGAACACTGAATAGATGTTTTATCTTATTATTGTTTGAATTCATAAATATTGGTACAAAGGGACATTGAATACACATACACCACACAAATCATTTGATTTGTGTGTGGTCTGTGATACTGTCCAGGTGCCCAAACCTAAGTAGGTGGTTTTCTTGGAGGGGGCACACCCCGGGCCTTCGATCTAAACGTATGATCAACAAAGCAGTGGGTCCACGTAAAGAGATTCAGTCCCATGGTAAATGGTGACCAACAATAAGTTCATACGTCATTTGTTCCTTCAGGATCCTGCAGCCCATGTGCACCATTGGCTTGGAATCATGGTTTTTTAACTTCTCTAGATAGATCCTCCGTGTCCAAAAACCCAGTTAAAGCGCCGAACATTCAATCTTCGTCCTCTCAATTTCGTAAACAACACCCATTCTGTGAGAAGGCAGTGAGTAGGAATTCCCTGGCTGTGGCCGTATACGCGTGTTTCTTTGAGAGCATTTAGATAGAAATGGCTGACTCTCACCACCCTAGACTGTACCAGGGCATTTTGGGAGTGTTTCATCCTAGTATGGGACTATTCAGAAATCATAATTTATCATACTTAAAGAGGTGGAACTCAGAACTTTTAAGGCTCACTGGGAGACTTTAATCTTACACCAAATGACTCTACTTCTAACTTGATAAAGGGTTTAGAATACTAGTTGTTTGACTAAAGTGAAGGAAAAAGGGCATAGTCGGATGATTATTGGTTATGGTTATATGTTACTTGTTATTTCAAAAATTCAAAATGCCCGTTGCTTTTTGTTTGTTATAAATCCATTATTGGTGTCCATATTGTTTTTTTTAATTCCTCAGACATCACATTCAATATAAACAAAATATAGGTTGTAGATCCCATCACTATCCAACATCAAACGCCGTCCAAAATATAAATTAAAAATTGTCACAAAACGAACTTTAACTTCAAAAAAATATTGAAAAACAATTAATTTAAGATAGTTATTTAATATTAGTTTAAAGGCTTATCAACAGTGTAATCCAATATTTTTTTATATGGTCGAAACTACAAGTTTCAAATACGAAAATGATCTCATAAAACACTCATCTAATTACTTTCGATCGAATGATTTACAGTTTTAACTTCAATTAATGTACAATGTAAAGCAATTTCAATCACATAACAACCAATGAGCTACTAAATAAAACCATAGTTGATTATAATGATTACAAACTCTTCTTAATAAAGCTTTCAGTTCAACAACTATAAATAAATTACTGGTGACTATTCAATTCATTCTAAATTATGTATTTATTAAAATATGTGTTTCAATTCAAATGAAATTTTCATCGTAGTATTATTTTTTTTGTTTTTGGTTTTTGTTTCAAAACATTTTTTTGTAACTTTCCACTATGAAAATGCATAAAATCTACTTATTAAATATATGTATTAGATTACGCCCTAACAATTTATATATTGATAAACTTCGAATACATTAATAATGAAGTTATGTTAGAAAAATAACTTGAAGTTACTATTCTCCAAGGAAACCTCAATTAGAATGTAATGAAGTATCTCTTTGTCTAATATCAATCTATAACTAGTAACAACATTGCATTTTCTAAATATATACGGATATATATATATATATATAACCGTATCGATTAATTACTGTTTGAGCAAACTGTAAATTTAAAAGTATATTGTGCGAAACACATGTCTGATTTTTGTTTCGGAATTATGAATAATGGAAGCGCACGAATTTACTAACTATACTACTTCCACTAATACTACTGTAGTAAACAGAAAACGAATGGGGGACAATCGAATGTATTCGATACGAAATTACAGAGCATCTTAATAAAATCTCAGAACCATATAGTTAGTAGTTTATTTGCAAAATATCAATCCATCGTCTCAAACTTGACTATTTTGTAAATATTAGTCCATTGTCTTAGATTTCATTGTTTATGCATTTTCATACCAATTGCGTTCCGTTCCCGTTCTTTCCTTATTGATCTTGTACTGAAATACATTCTATGCCTGACCACTGTTATATACTACTTATATGTATCTAAGTAAACCACATCACACTACTACTATTGTAGTGAACGAAGATACAGGTGGGAAAGATTAATTTATTGTTCAATACACAATCATACAGTGGTTTAGCAAAATGTGGAAATCATACATCAAATATATCATTTGCACATAATTTGCACATCATCTTTAAACTATCTCTTACAAGTTTTATTGTTCATTCATTCCTGTTGTTATCTTAATTGCTTTCGGGAACCTTCTCTAACCTCTTCATTTCAAACTTCTCAATCTTTTTCTCTCAGACTTTCTACTTTCGGCTGGTGTTACATACAAAACTATATCTACAAACATAATTAGTATACACAACACTGCTACTACTAATAATAATAATGACAGATTTTTTTATATTTCGTTTATTTGTAGTTGGATATTTTATAAATAGATGCATAACTAGTGTAAGAATTACTCATAAAATCTTGATCATTCAATGCAATTATGTTTAATGGTTGAATAAATATATTTGTATGAAAAAACAGAGTATGATAAAAGAAATTGTTGTTATTTGTCGCAATACATGTTTAATTGATGTTTATTTGCAATAACAATATATATGAATTATTCGATCCAATAGAAATCATTCAGTTGAAAGATTTAGCTTTGATATCTTATTTCATGCTTTCACTTTTCGAGTATCTGAATTACTAGTGTTAATTTATTTGTTTCATTGAAAAAATCTTCCAGATTTTTTTATTAGACCGAATTGACCTGCATTTAATCATTCGTATGATGTATAATATTTAAATAAAGAATATGTATAATAAATCATTTTTAACATCATTACTATTTTACAAACCAAATACTTATACATAAATGAATGCGTAAATGTATACTTATTTGTGAACTGTCAATCTACATCTAGTTTTGAACAGTTACAACAATCTAATAATTTTTTTTCTTCCATATACATACACATACAAATAAATGATCGAACAACACTAAATGTTGAAAGCAATTAGTTCCTTTTTATAAATTAGGATCGAATGAATACTTACCATAGTTTTAGATATGTTGTTTTTTTCTTCCAGGTTTAATTAAATTTCAAGTATTGAAAATAATGCAAATTTATGTATGTGACAGGTTTTAGATGATTTTTTTAAATCATTAATAATCTGATGTCACATTGCTTCATTTGTAAATCAACATCAAGTTTCTAGTATCTTGGTTCAATGTGATAAGACACGATCCTTCTGATTACATTTGATCTCAATTTCAACATTTTATCATATCATGCTGAGCCACCCTTTCACAATGATAATTTCCCTATCTATCTTTTGATGAAAATTCAAGGCATTAGAGTGCCTAAATTCACTTGGTGTTGTTTTACTTGTATCTTAGCATTGTTATTTAGGACTGCAATTGATCACTTTCATGTTGACATATATGCATCCTATGCGGATTGCCTCGATATAACCTTAAGTCAAAAGCTTTTTAAGCAAAGATGGATAGTGGCTAGCAATGGAATCTGGTTTGACGCATGTTTCGTCCGACTTGGGGCTCGTCAGATGGATGTATCCGCATCCCAGAGTTGATGTTTACTCCGGGACACGAACCTAGTACCGTTCGCCCAAACGCCATCGCGTTTTCCATTTAGCTGAAGAGTCCCGGGATTCAAACCTATGGCCTTCAGTCTCATGCGCGAACGCTTAACCTACTGCACCAATGAGCCGACATCCGATGATGTAGACTAAAGGTCCTGGGTTTGAATTCCACGAGCGAGATCATGAATGCGCACTGCTGAGGAGTTCCATAATTGGACGAGACGGTCATCCCGTGCTTCCAAGTCTCCAACAGTGGTCTAAAATCAATCAGTTCACGTTCTCAATCAAAAACTATAAATTTTTACTGTAATTATTACATAATCTAATTTCAGTTTATTTTTTAAAGTGCTAGATTTCATTAGTAATAAAAAAATTATAATTAGATATAACTTGAAAAGATTTGAATAATTTATTGATTTTCTTTCATTATTAATAAATGCCATAAAGGTTAAGAATGATATTCACTTCTTTTTTTTTTGTTTTTTTTCTAAGTATAACATAGTTTTGAATTTTCTTCTATTGGTTTCTTTTTTACATCAAAAATATTTCATTTATATCATTAAATTATTTGATGATTTATTCTTTGAAATTATATTTGGCTTCAATTCAAATTAATCATCATGATAAAATAATCTATTCGTATGTAATATATTTAATAGTTTGAGAGAGAAAAATTGGCATTTTATTTATATATTAATCTAAGTTTAGTGTACATACCAAGTTAAACCACATTTCTATGAGATATATATAATATCAAAAGTTAGACATTAACATCGTTGGATCCCGGCTCGATGTTCTAGAAGTTAAGCGCTCGCGCGTGAGACTGATAGGTCTTGAGTTCGAATCTCGCGAGGCGGGATCGTAGATACTTACTGCTAAGGAGTCCTACAATAGGACGAAACGACCATCCAGTGCTTCTGGGTTTTTCATGGTCGTCTAGATGTAATTGATTTATGATCTCAACCATTAAAATTCAAAATTTATTGTTAACCAAGCAAGTATGAATAAATAAATCATTCAAATAGTGAAGAGTTAAAATGTTAAATTGTGGATTATTGATTTCAGTTTCTTCAAATGATGTTTTGAATTGATTTACATTAAGTCAGTTGTTCAGACTAAATCTATGGTAGATGTTGTTTTGTAAACGTTTTTTATTGAAGATCAAATGACTGAAATTATTATAGGAAATAATCGAATATATATTACTGAATTAAAATGTATTAAATATTGTTATACTTTCAAGTATACCTTCATTTCTATACACAAGAGTCTATGATAAATTAAATTTTCATTTTTTATTTAACTCTAAAGTTGATCAATTACAAAATCAATGGAATTCAGTTGAACAACAAATGATTGAACGTTCAGAAAAATTAGATCAAATGTTATCTGGTATACAAACTTTAAAAGAATTAGAACGTGATGTTGAACGAGAAATTAGCAAAACAGAAGCTGATTTACAAAGTATTGATACATCAAAGAATCAGTCGAATGATCAAAGTTTATCGACTTCTAGAATTCTTGTTATGACTCCAGAAACATGTCGTAAACACTTACAAGTATGTTGCTTCATAATAATTTACATATTCGATGTAATTTATTCTTTATGGATGTAGTTTTTATAATTTCACGAATTAGGTGTACAAATTTTGTTATTGGTTTAGAACTATAATTAACTTACTTCAGTCAGGCGTTTAAAGTAACCAGTCCCTTTTTGACAGAACAGTGGGAAAACGGAAATGTGATGCGAAATTTTTCGGATAAACTCCTTCAGTCTCATAGTATGTTTGATTATTGAATGATAGTCAATGTCATGCTATTTATTCCTTTACATTGAATAAATTGTCGATGAAATTTCAGTGCTGTCCACCAGTCCAAATGACTTAATATTGCAATAAAATTGATATCATGTGATTAGAAACAGTCAAAAATAAATCATGAATCTAGGTTTCGTCAGAACTGTCTAGTTTTAATCTTGGAGTAAGTGGCGATGCTCAGGTGAATTCGGATTTATTCATCTCATAGTTGCCATCACCGAATACTTAAACTGCGGACAATTAATTTGGAGACCAAGATATCTTCAGAAAACATTTGATGCAAGAATTGTTCAATAATAATCTATGTAACAGTTACGCTGAGTGATGTAAATTCTAATTTTTCAAGGGGTATATTAAGTAAAATATCTCAGTTGATTATTTTTGATAACCTAGAATCAAATAAATCTCTCACATTGAAACCAGTATTTTTTTTCGAATACAGAAATTTATAATTTATAGCCAAGTTGCATTAAACTAATATAATTATCTTATATATTAGTAGTTTGTCTCTTTGATCAACACTATTTATTCAGTTAATAGATAGAATAAGAAAATTGGGAACACTAACCGTATGAAAATGATTTGATCTTTTCAACATTTGAGATCATGAATCAATTGAAACCAGACCACCATAGAAAACCTAGAAGCACCGGACGGCCGTTTCATACTATTGTGGGACACCTCAGAAGTGCGCATCTTCGACCTCGCCTTGCGGTGGATGTGTCGCTCTTTTTTTGGTTAGTTGAAGTTAGACATTAACACCACTGGATGACGGCTTAGTGATCTAGTGGGTTAAGCACCTGGCGCGAGACTGATAGGTCCTGGCGTCGAATCCCGCGAGGTGGGATCGTGGATGCGCACTGCTGAGGAGTCCTACAATAGGACGAAACGACCGTCCAATGCTTCCAGGTTTTCCATAATAGTCTGGTTTCAATTGACTCATGATCTCAACTGTTGAAATTACTACTATCTCCACAAAACCCCTTTTGATTTGATCTTTTCCTATCTATACCTCATTCCATGTCCTTATTTGTTTTTTTCCTGCTAACACTAACAAACGGTAATGTTGTAAGCAATAACAAAAATTTACCCTATTTTTTAACATATTTTAAAGATAAACATATGCTTAATTGTAATTTAGTAAATATTTAATTTTTAGTTTTCTTAAAACTAACAAGGGAAGTTCATTATCAAAGAATTTGTAAGTGTTGGGAATGTAAAAAAAAAATAAGAAAAAACAAACACATCTTATTTGAACAATTGATTGAGAAAATACTGAAGTGATTGATTTAATAAAAATGAACAATTTTTAACAGAATTGATAATTGAACTTTTAAATAAACAAACTTGGGAAGACAGAACCACTATCTGATTGACCAAATATTTAAAGAAAATCATTGTTGCCATTTACCTATAGTATATTTGATCGAGTTACTTGATGAATAACAAAAACTACAACAAAAATGATTGTTCAAGCATAAAAATCAAGGTCACAAATCAATGAATGTCCTTTCATTATTTCACATTAGTTTAAATTAGTTATTATGGTTCACACTTGAATAGTAACTGAATATATGTTGAGAGGAAAGAATAATACAAAGAAACAAATACTATTATAAATATTTATGATTCATATCACTGACTGATATTATAGAGAAATTGAAAACTGTGAAATGTTGGACAGATTAGCTGATTGAAGTAAGATATATACGAATTGTTCAAGCTCCAACTGTTAGGTCGAAATATGTTTAGTTTAGTTCTGGTGTAGTCATAGATGTGTATTAATAAATAATCTCATACCAGAATAAAACAGTTATTTGATGATTTCAGGCTTTTAGTAATTACGTAATTAGGATTAGATCTATCTAAGGAGTAACTGACCTCCTGTTAGACTGAGATGTATTTACAATTGATTGATCACTGATTAGTCACCAATATCATGTACATCAAATTCTTCTTAGTGAATATTCATAATGTGAACAGTGAAGTTCAACAATCGTCATATACCCTCTATGACAGTATTACAGATTTTTTTCCAGTATCTTTTGTAGTTGATTTTGTATTAATGCTATAAACCTGATTTTATGGAAAGTTCTTATTTTGGATTTTATTTATTTTTTAACAGTCATTATTCATAAATTTTCATATCAATTCCGTGGATTAGTTGAAGTTAGACATTAACACCGTTGGATGCCGGCTCAGTGGTCTAGTGGTTAAGTGCTCGCGCGCGAAGCCAGTAGGTCCTGGGTTCGAATCTCGCAGGGGGCGAGGTCGTGGATGCGCACTGCTGAGGAGTCCCATAATAGGACGAAACGGCCGTCCAGTGCTTCCAGGTTTTCCATGGTGGTCTAGCTTCAACTGACTCATGATCTTAATCATTGAAATATCATGAAACATATGAAATAAAATCAATATTCCACTGTAAAGTATCTTAGTAACATATTTTAAGAATGTATTTGATTATGAAATTACATAGTTAATTATTAATTCTATTGTAAATTGTCATATTTTATATTGAGTTATTTTATGTTTATATTAATTTACTTACTAATTACTCTCAATATAGTTCCTTTGTTCATTTTATATCCATCAGTAGTCGAAAGTTTGTTTCCCCAGATTTTTTTTCCTTTTCTTTCCAATTATAAGTTAATATGTCATTTATTCAGCTATGTATATATTTGTTACGAAAGACTATTTGACAGCAAAAATAAAATTATGTGAACATTGAATCATGTAAATTATTTGAATGAAACATATGTAATTTGATGAAATATCCTTTAATCACAAGAGGGAATATATATGAATATATTACTAGTCCTATCCATACTGTTTAGTGTTATCTCATAACATACATGGTAAATAAATAAATAAATAATATATTTGTAATGTTCTAGTGAGTAGAAAAAATGAGATTTTCTGACGTTTCGTAACTTAGTGTAGGCCACTTCTTCAGCGAATAAATAAATAACCAAATTAAAATCAATCCAAGTTTAAATAATACAACGGAACAACAAGATTATATGATCAATCCAAAAATCAGGTCTGAATCATTGGATCGATCACATAATATTCTTGTTGTTCCGTTGTATTGTTTAAACTTGGATTGATTTTAATTTGGTTATTTATTTATTCGCCGAAGAAGTGGCCTACACTAAGTTATGAAACGTCAGAAAATCTCATTTTTTCTACTCACTAGAATATTACAAATATATTATTTATTTATAACAATCTACCCAATGCTTAATTTATTCGAAATTATCAAATCGAACCTTGGTAATGATACGTACATGGTAAATATTTAATTATCATGAATATATTTATGTATATTCACTGATGAATAATATACTACATCATTGACCGGATGGATTTTTTCAAATCATTTTGTTAAGGCTTTATGGCAATAGGTAGAGTTTTGTAATCATCGATATGTTTATTTACACACTCCTACTGTAGTGAATGCTACTCACAATGTTGTTTGTAAGTAGCCTGTTGCGAAACGTGACCTCGAAGTTGTAGGACGTAGTGAAGAGTTTCAATACAGCAAAAGTACGGTATTGACAGAATACTTGAAGGCAGGATGAGAAGACAGTTTGGATGGCAGGATATACTGAAAAATGAAAATGGACTATTGAAATCTATATATATGTAATATGTAATTAGATTATAACACAAGATTTGCAATTTTTCTGCCCGTTGGCTTCTTTTACATTAGTACTGTATTGCTTTACATTACATTTTCTGGTTTTTTCTAAATAATTCCACAGCTGATATCAGTAGGTGATGACGAGTGTTAACACTTTTCATATGACACTGAAGTTATGTTAATGTTACTCGAATGTTACATTCAAATATCAATATTCTAATACTCATTACATTTCTACACTATATATTATTGAATTAATTCAGGAACTGATCGATAGTTTGCCGCAAAGAAGTGCTAAGATTAAATTATATCAAAAAGAGTGTGAAGCATTAATTAAACAGTTCCCTACAGAGGATACTAGTCGGATACGTGCTGACATGGAACAAACAATTAAACGTTGGAATGAATTAGAAAAATCGTAAGTGATCTCATAATGAAATTTTTCTATTATATAAATGAGTTTACATGAGCAGATACTAATAAATGAAATTGAATAAAAACTGATTGATATGAATCATTGAACTAGAATTTTTATTCTTCAGTTTGATTATAGGTTAACATGAGTCTAATATAAGGTCACATTAATATAAACCTCTGGCTTGACAATGGAGCGTCTGTTAATTAGATCTCGAGCGAGAAGATTACACTTACTAAAAATATATACATACAACTAGTTAAAATAAAAATAGGTTTTTAACACATTAATTTAATTAAAACCAGTGTCAAAATAGCATGTACATGTATCATCCAGTCGATAGTTTGATTACTTCTAATATAAAATTATTATAAGGCAAGAGTAAAGTTAATAAAAAGTAGAGATGGTAATCTGAAAGAGAAAAACAACAAGAATAACAATGAATCCTTAACTCAGTGATCTTAAGAGATACAGTTATATATTAAAATGAAAATAATCAACAATAATTATCAATAAATAAATATGACCACTGAGCCGGCCAGTATCCAACGGTGTTAATGTCTAACTTCAACTAATCCACGAAATTGAACGACTTATCCACCGTTGTCATCAGTGAGTTACTATCTCACAACAGACCCAGTTGAACTCTACTGGTCATTGACAGGTCCTGGCGTCGAATCTCGCGAGGTGGGATTGTGGATACACACTGCTGAGGAGTCCTACAATAGGACAAAACGACCGTCCAATGCTTCCTGGTTTTCCATGGTAGTCTAGTTTCAATTGACTCATGATCTCAACTATTGAAATTACCATAATCTCCACAAATCCTTTTCTGAAAATAAATATGTATTCGATATAGTACTACTAATAGCAACATTAATGTACAGAATAGGTAATTTTTATAGATAAGACTTACTTTATTTTTGCCTATACTTTTCGTTCAAAGAAATTCCTATATAATGATAATCATTGTAATCATGGTAGTAAAACGTTTGATTATTAATATTGGACTGAATAGTTAGTCATATTATTTTTAGATTTAAATTGTATACAGTAAAAGCACATGTGAACTTTTTCTCCTGTTCTTTTATGTAGTTTTATTTGTTTAAATATTCACTTTGGGATTATTTCTATAATTTCGCAAATGTGATATATATATAACTTAGTTATTTACCAATGTAATGACAATAACCACCTTAGTAATATCATGCATTAATTCATCTTTTGATAAAATAACACAACTTATGAATAGAAAAATTAATGAATTCATATGACCTAAATTAGATTTCTGTTTCTTTCTTTTTTTCCAAGAATAGTTCCATGGTAGTATATTTCTTAATCACTATGGAACAATTTAATCTTGTCTCTCTTTTATTTTGTAAACTAACAACCGTTGCTAAAAGCCAAATTAGTATTATGAATGATATTAAAATAATTATCATGAAATATATATATATATATATATATATATATATACAAACGGGACTCGTATGTAATGTGGTAATTTAATTAGAAAATTATCATAAAATAAATAGCCTGAGTTTCTGTCAACTTGTATAGCTGTTTGAATACATATTATGTAGTAATGTTCAGTATTAAGGTGGGGGGATTCGATTAAACTTATAGATTAACCTGGGTTCACTTTTGTTCATTCGATATTAAAATCTGTTTCTTGAAGATGATTTTTATCATGAACTGACATATAAAATAGAACAGTTTAGTAATGTATGGAACATTAGAAAGCTGTTCTATTTTAGTCCGAAACTACTCGGTAGTGTTGAGCGTTTATAAATTTACAGATCTAATTCAAAATCTTCAGACCATGTGGAAAGTATAATACTAGCATTCAGGTGTTTATATTTTGATATATACAACATTCAAATTTACACTTGTCAGTGAGCTACTATCTCATTACCGTCTTAATTGAATTCCATGATTGTGGTATTTTTCTTGTAATTTTAAGAAATCTATTTCAATGATTAAACCACAAGTTGTGCATAATATCATCATATATATAATTACAAGTCCATAAATTTCAGTAGTTTTGTTGTAAATTAATGCAACCTTATTAATCACCAAATGTTTTTTACGTTTAAAACCTGTTGCATTGCATTAAATTAGTAATTACTTACTACTGTACCCACCAAATATTCGATATCGTTTTGTTTTGATTGAAAAAAATTAGAAAATTATTTATTTGAAAGATATAAAATTTCATATACTAAACCTGTCCAATTATAGATCCTGCGATTTTGTACACAATCTTACCATTGATTGATCACTGGTTGGTGATCAATGTCATTTGTAGCAAATCCTTCTTAGTGCAGATCGAATGCTATCGACCAAGTTGCAATATGGCCACCAGTTTAGGTTACTTGACACTGCGTGCACTATGTTGAGATTAGATGGTGGTTGGAGGTAGTCGACAGGAAATCCTGGACCCGGGTTTCGTGCTACTTGGCAGTCGTCAGCTGATAAGTCTTGCAATCTGAACGCTATACTTGGTTCCTAAGCTATTCTTGTAACCTCCAAGCTAGAACTGTACAGAGACCTGAACACGAGAGAGAAGGCGCAAAGTATGCGAAAAGTACTTTACTCCAAGGTTCATTTTACTACAGAAAACATAGGGCTTTTATAATATTTTAGATGTCCTTGGGTTGCTCGAAGTTTCAGGAATGCTACTAAACATAGTAGCGGTATAACAATCAACCAATCAGAACGTTTACATGTAACTTTTCACATCCTTGATGTTTCTGGCTAAAACTCCAAGTGAATGCTGATTGGATGAAATGCTTCTTAATGTTTCCTGACCCTTGCGTGTCTTTTGCGAGAAATTTTCTGGATCATCCCAGCATCAGTAAGGTGTGCCTGTAATCTTGAGGGAACTGGTGCTCTCTGACGGGCTTGACACACATGACATTGATCACTACTCAGTGACCAATAAATTGCAATTGCATCTCAGTCATACAGGAGGTCGGTCGCGACCCAAATAACTCAGTGGTAACGTCTCTGACTGGGAAGCTGAGTGACATGGGATCGAATCTGTCAAGGAGCACCAGTTCCCTCAAGATTACAGGTACACCAGGCTGACGAGTACCAAGTAGCACGAAACCCGAGTCCAGGGTTTCCTGTTGACTACCTCCAACCACTATCTAATGTACACAACCTTAATCGTCTGAAATCTCATTCTAGAATAACTCAATACATTAAAAATAGGAATATTGTAGTCACATAGTATACATCACTGACGTATACAGTTAAGAACTCTAGATAATATGAATAATAATTCAAATGTACTGTAAAGAAACGTTTCCCTATAACTTTGAAATACAATTTAGATTGCTTTAAAAAATACACACAATTATTCGTAGTCATACAAAAATATACTTTCTATAAAAAAATTAAAAATTATTCCACATTCGTTCTACTTGACTAAATCATTATTAGGCTAGGTAACGTAATCACCTATTGAACAAAATTATGTACAGTAAAATGAATTAAATACATTGAACATTCACATGATAAAGTTCAAACTCATGTAGACTCATTTTTAACGGCAGTTGAATCTGTTATAACTTGTGGCCTGTGTGCCTTTTTAATGCGTACGTAATGATACCGCCAATTAGAGAGCAGTGAATTATCGATCGGATCAATGACGCATAAACTCGTATGAGCAGTCTAGAGTCCTTATTGACCCTGCTTCGTGCCTAGCCCAGCCAGTTAAGTCCAGAACACGAATCTCAGCCTCTATAATATGAATCATTTATTTCAAGCATACTGGGTTTATATACCAACCAGACAGACCACATCGTACCACAAAATAGCAAACAACATTTGTGCAAGAATTGGCCAAATGTGGCTGTGAATAAGCGAGGCAGTGATGAATAGACAGGGAATAATTCAAGAAGGGTAAATCGAATAATGGTAGTCTATAAGTCGAAATAAAACTCATAATAAGAGGGACATGAATATGAATAGTTTAGTTATTTAACAGTTATACGATAAAGTTTACGCATGGTATTGATCCACAAATGGATCCCAAAAGTTACCATTCATTATGCTTATCGAGACATAATAGAATCTTAATATAATTGTGTTAAAAATTAAATCGATATTACACTTCCTATATTGTGTAATATGAAAAACTCTTCTTTAAACAATTATCCTAACCAGTTATGCTTTGAATATTTTTTTTCTTAAAAATAGAATTAAAAAAACTAAAACTCTCTATCTTCAAGAAGCATTAACACCAGTATATGATCATTTTAAAGAACAACAAACTAAATTAAAAGATCGAAGAACATCCAGTTCAGATGGTATACGTAAACCAACACTAAATGAACAATTAGAAATGATAGAGAATAAATTTAACCAAATATCTAAACTTGAAGCAGAATTAAATCAATCTGGTTCAAATATAGATAATCAATTATTAATTGAAAAAAGAGCACATCTTGTTACAGAATCACAAGTTAGTATTCATTCTGTTTTACGGCATCATCTATTTATTTAATTTTATATAATTCAATCATTATATACAAAATATATATCTACTATGAATATAATTTAATACTAAAATGACAATGTTTTTTTATACAGGCTAAAGTAATAATAATAATAATATAAGAAAAATAAAAGAAGCAGCTTAGTTATCAGAAATCAATATGTGATTAATTATATATCCATAGTTGAGATCATGAGTCAATTCAAGCTAGACTACCATGGAAAACCTGGAAGCACTGGACTGCCGTTTCGTCGTATTGTAGGACTCCTCAGCAGTGCGCATCCACGATCCCACCTCGCGGGATTCGAACCCGGAAACTATCTGTCTCGCGCCAGACGCTTAACCAACTAGACCACTGAGCCGTCATCCAATGGTGTTAAATTCTAACTTCAACTAATCCACGAAATTGTGCGAAACATCCACCATTGTCATCAGTGAGTTACTAATTCACAACTGACCCGGTTGAACACCACTGGTCACTGCGAGACTGATAGGTCCTGGGTTCGGATCCCGCGAGGTGGGGTTATGGATGTGCACTGCTGAGGAGTCTCACAATAGGACGAAACTTCCGTCCAGTGTTTCCAGGTTTTCCATAGTGGTCTAGTTTCAATTGACTCATGATCTCAACTTTTGTAATTACTACAGTCTCCACAAAATCCCTTCTGATATGAACAATATATCAGTTTTAAGCTAATCATCTTCCTACATTGAATAACAAAAATGTTTAATATGGTTTTTGTTGAAATCCTAAATTTAAAACATAATATCTTTTCATTCATTTTATATCGTTTGTTTGAATCTTTCCGTTGATGTTTAGGATTGAAATTGTTTAGTCTATTATTGGCATAATTCATCCTGTACGGATTACCTCGATATTGCCTTCATTTACAAGCATCATAAGTAAAGATGAACGGTGGCTAGCAGTGGAATTTAGGACGAGCGTTTCGTCCTATTTGGGACTCATCAAACGGATGTACCTGTATCCCACAGTTGATGTTCACTCCTGAACTCTATTTTATAAGTCAAAATACCAAACAATAACTCAGAACTTTATAAAATTTATTCACTGAGTTATTTTCAAGGTTTAAAACTAAATATGATTTTTAATTTTTATCATCTATTTGTCTGAAAATTAAATGATACCCATTATATTCAAAACGTTTCATTCGAAATAAACTTACCGACTGAAATTTAAATAATTTGGATATTTTATTAGTCAAACTGATATGAGTTTCTTCCAAGGAACATATATTTGAAGTTCGATCTTTGTCAGACTGATCGTTCTGATTTTGACGAGTACTCCTATAAGTGGTTTAAATGATAGTCACAGAGTTTCTGTAATTAACCAAATAAGGCCATTTAAACCACATAAATTTTATTTGAACAATTCAAAGAAATCTGTAGAAATGAAGAACTACGTGTTGATCTCATTTAGCTTTGTAGGTGTGCACCATCGAATCATCCTAAATGACGACAAAACAACTATCCAGTACCTAGTGATTTATATCAGTAAACAAACTGATGTCAAACTATGATATAGACTTTTTTCAAGTTAAAAAACGACACAAATTGCTTGTTAATTGAATAAATTTGTTTTCAGATCACTTCATTTGTAGTTCCGTGTGGAATTCACCCTGTCGGTGTCAAGTATTTCTATTTTTGAGAGTGGAATATTAGTAAAACTCATCAAAGTATATTAAAAAGTCGTCTACTTTTTGTACTGCTTTTTCTGCGACTACCAACACGTAATCGTATAAAGTAGTAAAATTTTAACAAAATAATTACGAAATATCAATAATGCATTGAGAAGACGAAGTTTACCAGGATTATGTAATATATTTACGCAATACATTTCGAACAATCTGATCACACATATTATACTTGTTAAGAACATATATATATAAAAATCAAAAGGTCAACTAGACAGGTTAAGGGTAAGCCATAACAAAAGAAAAAAATATTAAAGTACACAGAAACAAATGTGATTACCACTCTGGATAATAAATCTGTATTACCAGGGTAGGTTAAGTGTGAAGACAAATTGTTTTTGAACACATAAATGGGGTTTCGATTTCTGTATAGCCAAGGCTTCAATAAACCTTAGTATACGTCCTTGAAGGCTTTTGTATAACACTACAAATGCTGATTTGATGTCAACTTTATGATCCGTCTCAATCAATTGCTCCATAGGAGCAGTTGAAATGGTAATAGATGCAAACGTTCACCATTCTTTTCGAGTTGTTTGGTTTTTGCTTCTTTTTTCTAACTGATGGATATTAAATGATTGTTTACAATTTTTCTAATCAAATCGATGCAAAAGTTTGATCAATTATCATTATCAGAATCAAATAGAATTACTTTGCCCTAGTTCGGAACTAGTGATAACGGTCTATGGGACGTCATACTGACCGCAAGATTGAAATGCCTACTATCTAATTTACTATTGAGTCGTTGGTGTTCACTGCCTTATGGTTTTTAAAAAATTTTATCTTACAACAATTAATCATGAAAACTACCCTCAACTAATTTTTTCGTTTTTTATTATCTAAATACGTTAATTTTATTCACTTTAAGTGACAGGTTTAATCAGCTCTCAAGTATAATAAATATAAATCATGGCGAAGTCAACCAATGCATAAAGCATTTATTAGATTTGCTAACTTCATCTGTCTTTGAAATGTATACTTTTGAAACGAATTCCAATTAAATTCTACAGCATTGTGGCATATGTGGAAAGCAAACAGTAGTGGACATCTATTTTTTTGTAGAGCGAGACTTTCCAATAATGTTCATTCTTGATCACATGTTGAATTCCGTTGGAAAATTTCAGATTGTCAATCAATATAATGTTTAATTAGCCCGTCTACAACTAACCAAAAGTTTCTAACTGTAGAAAATTCATTTTATTATGTGACCATCAGCCGTCTTAAATGATGACAAGTATGCATTCCTTCTGTTTAAACATTCTCGGTAATAATAAACAGTATCGTTGATATTAGAAAATATCTGTGATGAAGTGATTACCTGATTGTTTCACAGCTTTCGTGAGCTTGATTCGATTCCATATACCGTTCCTAGTTTATGTGAATTATTTACTTATAACTTTATAGTATGAAATCTATTGTTTTGATAATCAGCTTGATTTGCATTTACTGGTTATGAGAGAAGAAATTCATTTGCCTGCAGCTGAATTGATAAGTTTGCATAAATTGAATAAGTTATTATCACAGACGAAATTACAAGTTCGGAAGTTAATTTGTTCCCTTCATTCTTTTTAATAGTTTTAAATAAGCATTGCTAATGACTTTACCTCCTAATACGGTACTAGAATGATGAAGTATTTTTACTTTATAAAATTATAAAACGCTCTTCTTTACGCTTTCAGTATTACTATGTAGTTCGTTACATACTTGAATGTATGCTATGAAAACTAACTCTTTAGATGGACTTCAAATGATGTCAGTGTTTGATTCTTGTATAACCTAGCAAATGCACAAGAGATTAACTTTATTACATTGATTCAATGGATGTCATATTATACAATATACAATTTTATTTATCACTAACACTAGGACTACATACGAAGGAATGATAGTGTATTATTTAGGTTACTGAAATCGATAGATATCTATAGATAAATCTCATACTATTAAAATCATTATGGCCTAGTTCTTAACAAACAGATAATCCACATAATTATGACTGTTTCCTATCCCTTATCATATTTTTCTACATCAAATTCGATCACACTTTCTTTGTTTGATCTTTGTTTGATAGAATAAATTCTCAGTATGGGGTCGTGGAGATTGTTGAGTTTTTCATTGAGATGATGCATCGATCAATATTAAATCACCATTGAAAACCTGGAAACAATGAACGGCTATTTCGTCCTAGTACGGGAGTCAACAATGTGCATCCACCATCTCACACACGGCACTCAAGCCCAGAACATTCGGTCTCATGCATGAACACCTAAACCCTAGACCAATGAGCAGACATTCAACGGTGCCAATGTCGAATTGAGTGACCATTTTCCACTGTCTTCGGTGGGTAACTGCTTTACACATGACACGGATTTGGTCCACCGATCACGTCTTCTTATTTGAACTCCGACAATTACCTCTCAAAGCTAGTTACTATTGAGAGGGATTGTAGATATACACCAGTGAAAAGTCCCGTACCAGGACGAAACGGCCGTTTAGTGCTTTCAGGTTTTCAATGATGGTTTAACGTTGATCGATTCATGATCTCAATCAGAATAAGTTCTGCCAAATGAAAACATTTAATGTGCTATATAAACTTTGATTAGATTATTTTAATGATTTGAAAATTTTTGCAAACTTGTCACTATGTGAATTTTATTAATTTTTGACTAAATAGACAAATTAAATAAATTAAATTTTAGATCTAATCCATATGCTTCATTATCTTATAGGAACGTATGATCCGAAATGAAATAAAACTTCCAGATGTTAGTTCTAGAAGTTTTTTTTATAATTTTACTGAAATATCAGATTGTCATGATTCAACATGATCCTGTGTTTGATCAAATCTTTTTTGAGTTACTAAATTAACAATAAAACTGTAAATGCACAATATTGAACAGTAAACAATGTGAATTGATACGCGATGAAATATTATTTAATTTATATTTTGATAATAATGATCTTTTGAATTGAAATAATCTTATATCATTAAAACAAAAAAGAAACATCATATACCTATAATAGGTGACAAACAATCAACTTGGAATGATCTATTATAATATACGGATTTTAGCTAACAGTAATATCCAAGGTTTCATGATTTGTATTAATTTAGGCTCACCACGTGGGTGGTTCTGGAACTCAATGTTGGTGCTTAATTAAAAGCAACTCATTAGTTTAAAAAGAACAGTAGTCTGACGTTTCAAGTAACATAATAGTGATAAGTGATGCTCTATAAAATGCATGTAGATCGGGCTACTATGCTCTATACAAGGTGAATCACAGAAACTACTATCAAATACTTAGCTACATATTCTATTGCACTACACCTAACAAATAAATTTCTTTGATGTCGTGATTTTTTTCACTTTCTTTTATTAATTTTCCCCGTTTCGTTTTTTTTTGTTTTGCTTTAAAGACATTACAAGCAGAAATTAATATGATCGCTACACAAATAGCCAGTAGTGCAAAATCTTCAGCGCAAGCATTGAATGTTTTGCCTAATCAAGAATTTTTCAGACGTTTACGTCAGTTAAGAGATAAAATTGCTAATTTACGGTAAGTTTATGGTGAAAAGAATTTAGATAATAACTATTAACTTGTTTATTTTCTGTAAGATAGCCAAGATATTTTAAACGTCTTATAGACTTATATGATGTTTTCAATAAACATGTAATAACATCTTTAGAATTATCTTTAATTGTAGTGTATTTGATGAATGTTCCTTCTCGATAAAAACCACACTTCAAAACTTTATATCTCTTTACTATCAAGATAGTAACCTTTGTTTATCATGGCATTTTTTGTTGTTATTTATTTATTTGAAAACATAAATATTGATACAAAGGGGTATCAAGTACATATGCGCCACACAATAACAATGAGACGAGTATTAGTTATCATTAATTTATGTGAGGGCTGTCATACTGCCTGGGCACACAAATCGATGTTGGTGGCTTTCTTGAGGGGCCATACCCTGAGCCTTTAACCTGAAGGTCTAAGCTACGGAACAGATGAACAACGTTAGGAGATCCAGTCTCGTGGTAGCCGGTGACGAACAATAGGTTCATACACCATTTGTTCCCTCAGAATCCTGGAGGCCATGTGCACCATGGGTTGGGAATCATGGTTTTCCAACTCCACTAATATAGAGTATGTACATGTATTTCATATTATTGATTAATATCGTGGTTTCAGACTGTAAACAGCTGAGGTGGATTCACGAAATAAATGAATTCATATTATTCTGTTACAAAATTTGTTCTTTTTTAAACTTCTAATAGCAAGGGTTTCAATTAATTTTAACGATGTAGAGTTAAACTATTTGTTGATTACTTTGTTCTCATTCATTCCATCCACTTCATATGCTATCTTCATAGGATACTTCAGTAAATGTCACACATCAACGTAATTAAGTTCTCGTTCAAATCAGTTTTCCAACTTTTCTCAACTTTTTCATAGCTATAGTATCTTCTTTAACCTCGATAATAACCTTTAATTTCTGTACTTATACTAATTCAAAGTACAGCTTATGTTGTACCGTTGCCTTTTAATTGGTTCAACGTGTAGGGTTCGTAGTATTTTATGTGTTGACTGAGATGGTGGTGTCTAAAGTACTCGATTTTCAACAGTGTCAAACTATTGTTTCATAAATATTTCAAAGTTTGTTCGTCTAAACATCATAGTGTCAATTGAAGACTCGTTGGTTTTTTATATGCATAATCAAAAAAATTGTAAAGCCTAATTTTTATGTAACAAATGGTGTTGTCAAGTAGCCACACCTATTGTTTAAAACCCTAAGGAGGCTATCAAATTTCTATAAAAAATAGGATTAAAAAATGAATTTCAAATCCTAATATCAAAAGGCTTAGATCTTCATTCAGAGATGACTTTTCTTATTCTTTGAAACAACACTATCGATAGCAAAACAAAAATCATTTTTCCACATACTTCGAATATTTCTTCACTCATTATTTTTTAAGTGATTGAAGATATAGAACAGGGAATCTGTAAGCATTGGTCTCATTCTAGCTGATACGCATCACGATCCATTATCATCAATATTGAGGGGATAGATGTGGTTCGTTAGATTCGAATTCATATCTCCTAGTGTTATAATCGGAAATATCATCACTTCATTGTTAGGAAGAGGCTGATATTATTTATTGCCATGAGTGCATGAACTACTTCAGGAAGGACAGGAATCCTAATGAAAAGTACAAACTAACAAAAAGCACACGAACATCCTATCCAATGTTGTATTTACTTAACATTAATAACTAAGTGGGTCGTAATACTCAATTACCTGGTCTAGTGTAAATATGATTCGTAGTGATCATTTGTTAACATGAAAATCCATTCCTTTTCTAACCTTACTTTTATTTTACAGTTTATCAACTAACCGTAAATAAAAGATTGTAAAAGAATTTCTAATTATTCGTTTTGTCTTTATTTTGTTTTACATTCATTTAAAGTCAATGCTCACTATTTATTCTCGTGGTTTTGTTGTTGTTGAATTGACAATTTGCGTTTTAATGCATTTAGACAAGAAAAGTATTAAAGTTTGCTCGTATATCTGTTTATATGTATGAATATATAATTGTCATAACGATACACACCAATATGCACTAACATTTGATAACATTCAGAAAACATAATTAGGATAATGACTGATTTTCGAATATTTTTGCAAATAACCCTACTAAAAGGAGGTATATATGCTTTATAAACATTGTATTCAAACTACTCAGAACAGTGACATATATCTTTAAAATGTCAATAAGTCAATGATATTAAACTGTTAATAATCAACTATATACAATATTATTATTATTATTATTATTATTAGTAGTAGTAGTATTGAGAGCGTATCCTGATGAGCAAAGACAAACGAAGTGTCTTTTTTCTAAATTTAAAATATATCGAAATAAATCTTTCATTGAGTTAGTTTTTTTGTTACATTTTTCAGTAGTCAAAAAATAAAAGATTTTTAATTCGTGCCACATTCAATTCTCACTGTTTTGGACTTGACTTTCTAATTTAATTTTTTTGTTTTTCACGAAAAAAATCTGCTGTATATACTTTGAAGATTTATTTATCATTTGGATGATATTTAAAATTGTTACTTGGTTTAAAGATATTTTATTGTCACTGAGTGATTTATACAAAAGATATATTGAACTTTGAAGTATCCTGAACAACTCTTTTATTTCAGTTTTGAACTTGTCAGCGGTGTGCGTTGACGATGTCATATAAGATAAAAATTATAACTTATAAGTTATATAGTGATAAAAATGCTTTCAAACCATTGAATGAAAATTCAGTCATCGACATTATAAATTTTTTTAATTCACAAGTCAGTACTACTATCATTCTGTGTTGAATCGTATTTTGCGTTGTGATTATGTTCTATGAAGTAATTCTAAATTGTTGTGAAATAGCTCTTCAGCGTTAATTGTAATACTTTGATTCATTAACTAATATCAGCCAGGGTCAAAAATTATTTCGTCTATATATTCTGATTTCATTATCTTTCTGTTACTTCCATGCTATTGTACATCTAGTACAATGATTCTGTTCAGTTTTAGATGTAGAAAGTAGACTTTTGTTAACGATGATAGATACTCTAAGATTTATGAAGAAACCTTCATTTCCTGATTGGGTAACCACATTTAATGCGTTGACAGACAATAAATTTGGCAGTCATATTCATTACTGTTGTATTAGTTTACCAGGAAATCTATCTTTCCTTTGATAAATTATTTTACTTTAATGAGCATATCACCAGTTTAAATGTCTATTTGGTATTTGACTATTTTCTTACATCATCACTGTATAACTTGAAACGTTTGAGCAATAGTCACCCAACATTATTGCATATAATGTAAAATCAATAAGTTCTTCCTTGTGTTGAGAATGAAGTAGTATGCAATTCATAATCGAATTAAGTTCATTATGGAACAGCGATGATATAATAAGCTTATCAATGGACATTTTATAACATGTAAGTACAAGTAAAAGGCCATTCCCATAATTCATTTATATCAGCTGTAGAATAACTAGTCAGATATGTCATAGAATTCTAAGAATCATTCTTGTAGCAATTCAGTGGTCATTACGCCTTACATGAGGAATTATTTCTTCAATTTCTTCATTTCTAATGATTAAAACAATCTTTAAATACCTCTCACATTCATTTCTTCCTAATCTATTTCACACAGACGAACAATGCAGTTGAATTCTAACCAGTCACATTTATATTTAACGAAATTAAAAAAATTAAACGATTGGTTATCACACAGAGATGCTGCATTTCGTGAAATTCTTGTACCAATTCAAGGAGATATGGGTAATGTAATTACCTTGAGAGAACAGTTATTGGTAAGCTATTTCTAAAGAATGTAGATAATTTTCTAGTTTTATTAAACGGTTACCGCAGTTTTAACGTTCGTTAATATATATATATATATATATATATATATATATATATATATTACTAAGTTTATGTCAATTGTTTTAATTACTATCTAAGAACTGTGTAAGACTCGATTCCAATCACTTCGTTATTTAGTGTTCCCTACATTTAAATACTGTAGTGGTTGATATTAGTACATACAAAGTGTATGGGTTCTATGAACATCGTCCAACATTAACTGTTATCAATTTGTAATTGATAACGATTGTCATCACAATGTACTCATTACGTCATAAACGGATCAATAATTGACTGAATTTTAAAATGCGAATTATCGAAATCCGACTTAATGGTTCAGTAACACTCAGCTTGGTATGAAACTTTCATATCTCAGGCTCAATTACAAATGTGGTCTTAAGTGTACAGTAGTGAAGAGGGTTAAACTATTAGAAAACAAAAGCAAGTGGTTCATGATTTTAGATGGGTTTCTTAGTGTAACCTACAATTCAAATCGTTATATTTTCAGAAATCGTCCAACAATGATGATCATTTTGCTCAAAACTTATCTTTATCCTTAGAAAATAGTTGAAAAATTACGGTGAAAAAAATATCAGACAGATGACTTTTCCCCCGTTTATTTCTGTTACGTTTAGTTAAAAAGATTAAATTTGTTTTAAAGAATGGTATATCAGCATCCTTCATATGGCTTTTTTTATATACGCATATATTATTCATTTTAGAACATAAACCATATTAAAACAATGGTGAATAGAATTGATCGGACAGAACTTTTTTTTAATCGACTTGCTTTGTCATATTGTGAACTAATAAGACTAACAACAAATGTCACGAAAACAAACCTTGTAGTAGTATTATTGGTAGTCGTAGTAGTAATAGTTATGATGGTAATAATGATTATATTGATATGTATTGTAGTAGCCTATGCTCCTCCACGAGGATTAACAGGTGTAAGTAAGTAAGCAGTAGGAAATATGACAGTGAATCTATAAATGATAAAAGATATTAAAATAACTTGTTTTGACTATCTTTTTTGGGGGGAAAAAAATAATATATTTCACTGTTTACGTGAACATTATAAAACTAATAAACAGTATATGTACTGGATGGAAATGACTATACTCTCCCATCATGTTGAATATTTATCCTTTTCTCTTTGGTTATTATATTCTGTTGTTAAATTTTCTGGTCCATATATATATATATATATATATATATATATATATATATATATATGAAAGAAATCTCTTAAGTCATTAAACTAAATGCAGATGCCTTCATTTAATTTAGTTCATACATTTTTAATTAATCAAGTGATTTAAACATTTTGTTGAATCAAATACTGGGTTTATTCAATGAACATGATAAATGTTCTACTGAAACTAGGAAGATGAGCCGATGGCTGGATATCAAATTTTTATTAAGACCTGGGGAAATATAGTAAAAAAAATAATAAATCGTGGACGAGGTCTTACGAAGATAACGTATTGAAAACCAGTCAAACTCAAATCAGCCAGATATTTCAGTGAAAGGAAGGAAGATTTGAATAATACTCTAAGGCTAGGATGACCAACAGCTTTCAATAATAACATCAAACCACTTTCTTCACTCAATAAGCTTATTACTCAGAAATCTTATGTTCTTTAAACTCTAAATTATCATACATGAAACATGGAATGCGAAAAATCTAGCCTTTGATGAATTAAAAATAAATTCTGAACAATAATATCTGCGATAAATCAGCCATATTGTCACATGTTGGGAGTAATTTAGCCTAAATAAAATTGATGTATCCTGAAACTTGTAAAACATATTTTCATCTCTTTATTTTATGTATTCACTAGACAGATTACTTATACAATTAGTTTTATGTATCATACACCTCTGAATAAATTTTAAGCATATAAAACCAAATAAATAGAATAATCAATTGTCTTTATAAAACACGATTAAATTAACAAAAATTTTATTTGTTTTTATATAAAGCTTTTCATTTCAATGCACTTAATTTTAATTTTATAAGGAATTCACCGTAAAATCTATCAGTTTTCCTGGCTAATTTATTAATCAGATAAAGGTTTTACATGGTAGTCTAGCTTCCATTGACTCATGAATTCACAAAATCTCTGATTATAATCATTATATACTCACTAGTGTTGGTCTCCATGAGATATTTCCTAGAATTCTAGCGAGAAGCCATGACTAATGTAATTCAACCAGGTTTGTTGTGAGTTAGTAAATCACTAAAGGCAATGATGGACGGTTGCACGATTTCGTGAATTGGTTGAAGTTAAACATTAACACCGTTAAATACCGGCCAACTCAGTAGTCTAAATGTTAGGCGTTCGCAAGTGAAACCGATAGGTCCTGGGTTCGAATCTCATGGGGATGCTCAATGCTGAGAAGTCTCATACTAGGATGATAGTCAAGCATTATTAAACTCATGAATTCTATGTAACATTTCCAATGAATAAAGAATCATAAATTCAAACTCAATATTTACTCATTATATTATCATACTTTAAATGATTCTTTAAACCTAATAAGAAACCTATTTTAAAAATGAATCATTTACTTAATAAGTACTTAATTTAATTTCAACATTTCAGTAGAAAAAATGAATTACTGCACTAATGTAAAGTTAATCAAAGTGTTAAAAAACGATCATTTTTATTGAGTTCTATGTTTTTTTTTAAAAAAAATTTATTTTCCATTAATCAATAACTTTTCAATTTTGGTTCTTTGACTTCAACATCAACTATTTATTTCTTGTACACAGTTTATTTTGATTGAAATACGTTTTTTTTTTCGTTGAAGAACTCAAAATTATGTATGATGTTCATATTCAATAATAATTAAATGATAAACAATCAATTCTTTTTTACATATAAATCTGAAGATTCTATGAATTCTTAGAAAAACCTGAATATTTTTGGATTGATTGATGTAATATCTGATGGCTGTGTGATAAGTCTTATTAATTTGAACGCTTTATTCGGCTCCTAAGCTATTCTGGTAACCTGCAATCTAGAACTACTCAGCGACCTGAACACGAGAGAAATAAACGTAAGATAAGCGAAAAGCACTTTACTCCAAAGGTTCATTTTTGTACAGAAAAACATGGGTATTTGTAGATTATTGGCATTTGTCAAATCAACATTATATTTTGACCAATCCGCTAAGAGACATATTATGCTACTGATCAATAGTAGCATACCATGTTTATATTCTAGAAAGCTCTCTCATGCTCTGATTGGCTGGAACTCTTCGGCTTCTTTAGGGCCTCTGGAGGCTCCGTTGTAGTTCACGGAAGCCGACTCAACATTATGATTATGCAATTACCTAATCAATCGAAGTTTTTATTGGTACATTAAATGATATGTTATATGTGAAAACTTTCACAGATTATTTATATACTTAATATTATATATGATTAATTTTTTTTTGTTATAAAGGGTTTATTTCAAGAACTTAATATAAATCGTTTACAAATTGAAGAAGTTTTATGCCATAGTAATACACAACATGATAATATAAATCAAAATAAATTAAATTTTTCAAATGAACGTGAATCAGAAATCGATTCAGATTTATCTGATACAGGATGTAAAAGTAATTTTGAATATAAATCTAATATAGAAGATCGTAATTTACGAACTAATCGTCGTATAACACGTCATTTATATCATTTAAAGAAAAAATGGTTAAATTTAAATAATAATATGCTAGATTTTAAATGTCAACTTGATGGTATATGGGAGGTAAGTTAAAATTAAGATTAATTTCATACTATTATTTTTTTAACTTATGTATTAATTGGATAGTTCAAACATTAACTTAAATAGAGTTTCTTGTTTTAGATTACAACTTATTGTCTACAATTAATTGATTATATTTATAACTAATGGATTTATGCCCAATCACCGACTGCCCCAATGTGCGATGTTTTATGGTGTGGGAGTAGGTTGGAAGATAGTTAGGGGTGGCCAGTCCAAAACATGGCACAAATCCATGAAGTCACTGACAAGCTGTTATGTCCGATAAGAATTATAAGTGGAAATTTTTGGGATCCATTTGTGGAACAATGCTATACGTATATTTTATTGTATAATTGCTAGTCAACTAAACTATTCATATTCATATCTATCTTATCATAAGCTTTATTTTAACCTATGAACTGTTATTATACGATTTACCATTCTTGAATTATTCCCTGTCTATTAATTACTACTTCACACATTCATACCCACATTTGGCTAATTCTTGTATAAATGTTATTTTCTATTTTATGGTACGTTGTGGTCTGTTTGACTGGTACATAAACCGAGTATGTTTGAAATATAATGATTCATATCGCAGAGGCTGAGATTAGTGTTCTGGACTTAACTGGCTGGACTAGGCGGAAAGCAGGACCAATCTGGACTTTAGGCCGCTCATACGAGTTTACGCGTCATTGATTCTATCGATAAGTCACTGATCATTAATTGGCGGCCACAAGTTATAACACAAGTGGACTAAATCATGTTGGTAGGTGTAGACTACCTGGTTGGGGTCCACGAGATGATATCAACCGATGGTTAGAGACCTTGCATGACATGGCTCAAAATCGTTTGCAATGGCGCAGGTGTATCTACTCTTTGTGTTCTCCCAAATTCTAATCTTCTGAATTCTTCATGTCCTTTATTTTCTTTCCAAATTTATTTCACTGGATTATACTCCTTGAATAATATCTTCAACCCCTAACCGTTCGGATTACTACTTATACTCTTACTATCTCTACCACTACGGGATTCCAATTGACAACTGCATCTCTGTGCTAATGTGGTATGGGAACTCGAACTGATGTACGTGCGTACGAAGTTCTACTTTGTCACCGACTGCCTGAATCTATGTTAAGTATAGTTGACATTATGACAATTACAGTAAATAAGTTTATTCGGTCGATTGATTTTAGAAAATATTTTTTTAAATTTATAATAAGCTATGAATTAAAGATTCCCAAGTTTAAATCTTCTGATCAAGCAAACTTTATTTTCAATGGTCGAGATCATGAGTCAGTTAAAGCTAGACTGGACGGTACTTTGATACCATTTATGTATCTGAAGAAATTACCATATTTATGAATCAAAAACGAAAGTGATTTCTTTGAATGACATATAACACTTCTTAAAACATTCAGTATTCTCTAGAACTATACTGTACACGTACAAGTACAAAATAGCGGTTATGAATGGAATAAAAATAAAACAATCCATTGTAGATATTTTGTTTTTTTGTTATGATAAAGAAAATAGTTGGCGATAAATATCTTCAATAAAATGAATTTTCATCTTTGAATTCTATATAAAAAAGTTTGAAATTAGAAAAAAAACAGAGAAAATTCAACAATGGTATAATTTGAAAGTCATTTTCTTAAAATTTGTTTAAAAGAGAAAAACTAAAGATTCTAGCCGAATAACATGGATCCATTTCATTACGTTGGTTTTCGTCAACTGCTTACAACCTGTGGTATTTACAATCATAATTACAAATGATGGATTTAAATTATTTACATGAAAGTGTTTAGTCGGAAGTTATATTGAAGACACATTAGTATAGTATAGCAAGGGTGTAAATAAATTTAATAGACTGAATATTGTAAATATACATACCTTATGTGAAAGAATATTCTACAACATCGATTGTGACAACAGTTCAAACGGCTAGAAACAAGTGATTACATAATGAGTAAACGTTGATAGGAATAAAATGAGTAGAGCTCAGTTAATAAAACAAAAGTGCTAATCTGGCGGATAGTTGAAATAAAAACCCAATGATATAATAAATGCAAGAAAGTATTTTAAAATGTTTAAGACGAGATGTAGGAATATTTGTCACCAAGGCAAGAAAAGATTAATAACCATCACTTGTTTCTGGCCGTTTGAACTCTTCTTAAAATCAATGTTGCATCAGTAGGAGTGGGTGATTAGCCCGATCTCTACCACTCGGGTTACTGCTTACGTAAGTTCATGAGTCATTCGTCCCACTATCCAGCAGGCACGACGCGGACGTGTGAGTAGTCTCTTAAATTTATTTACACCCTTGCTATACTATACTAATGTGTCTTCAATATAACTTCCGACTAAACACTTTCATGTAAATAATTTAAATCCATCATTTGTAATTATGATTGTAAATATCACAGGTTGTAAGCAGCTGACAAGAACCATCGAAATAAAATGAATTCATGCTATTCGGCTAGAATCTTAGTTCTTACTTTTTTCAAAATGATAAAATGAACTATGTGTATAAAAAACGTTGAAGTATAGTTCTTTTGAAAGTTCGTATACGATGTTTTATACAAAATTTCAGTTTATTTCATAGTTGTTTATTTTTAGTTTGTATTTTTAATAACTATGAAAATGCAGCTTACATTGGACTAGAACATTAAAAAAATCCAAACGTTCTAGGTGAAATTTTATCTGAAAGTACTTTGTCAAATTGTAGTTTCTACCCTAAAGCTTAGTTATATACTTATATAATATACCCTTGTCGACCAGGGGTGATTTTACATTGGTTTTCAGGAGAACCAGATACCATTCAGACTTTCACGTGACAACCCAAACAGTACAGCTCAATCTCGTTTAACAGGAGAGCCAGGCACCGCCCAGGCTTAAATTCTATAACTCGAACAGTACAGCTCAATTCCGCTCCACAGGAGAACCAGACACCGTATAGGCTTTAACGCTACATCTGAATATTACAGTTCAATCCTGTGACATAACCACACAGGTACCAAGCACCCTGGTTAACCATTCATATACACATTCATATCATATGTATAGTTATTCCGATCAATTATCGCGTGAATCAATTATGCACAGCACGAACAGGCCAAAATTGACTTATTCCGCTTACACAACAGTCAAACCCAATAATGTTAGCAATGGCGACATGCCTTACAATGTCTCAATGACAATGGCCCTTGAGAACACTGAAAAGCAACCACTAGTATGAATAAAATCGGATAACTAGCAAACCAGTTTTGTGCATGAACAGTCAGCAAAACTTGCCAAAGCAATGCTGAACCACCCACAATACCAATTGCGAACCTCCAGTCTCATATTAGACCATCAGCTTTACATAGCTCTATATAGTCCTACAGCTATTACTATATATGTTATTGTACCTAGTCATTTTTTTAACAATCTTTATTCGAAAATAATTATTCCCGAAAATTAACCGTCTATAGTACAGATACATAAAATATCATATAGTGTTAAGTTATTGATAGTTGTCAGTATTTTAGATGACATTAACATACCTTAATTCAAATAATCGATTGGTTATCATAACCACTATTGTACAAGTAGACCTGGCTACATTTTATAATGTTTTATATGGTAAACGTTTTTTTTTACTTTTTAATATATAAATATATTTGAAATAATTCAATAGAATATAAATTATCACAATTTCCCGCTTTTTTTAATTTACCTTTTTCTACTTTGCATAAACAAAAAATTAGCGTCTATCCAATTTTAATTCATTATTAAATGATGCTGTAGCTCAAGTGAAAAGTGCTGAATCTGTAACATTGAAATGGATCCCTATAGAGTTTTTACCAAGTGAACATATAAAAACTGAATTAGATCAAACAAAGGTTAGTTGATTTTTATTTACAACAAATATAATTACTTACTTACTTACGCCTGTTACTCCTTGTGAAGGAGCATAGGCCGCTCACCAGCATTCTCCATCCAACCCTGTCCTGGGCAATCCTTTCAAGCTCTTCCCAGTTCTTATTCATCTTTTTCATATCTGCTTCCATTTCCCGACGTAATGTGTTCTTTGGCCTTCCTCTTTTCCGCTTCCCTTCAGGATTTCAAGTTAGCGCTTGTCTCGTAATGCAGTTTGATGATTTCCTCAATGTATGTCCTATCCATTTCCATCGTCTTTTCCTAATTTCCTCTTCAGCTGGAAGCTGGTTGGTTCTCTCCCACAAAAGGCTGTTGCTGATGGTATCCGGCCAATGGATGTTGAGTATCATGCGTAGACAGCTATTAATAAATACCTGTACCTTCTTGATGGTGGTTGTTGTAGTTCTCCAAGTTTCAGCTCCGTACAGTAGAACTGCCTTGACGTTCGTATTGAAGATTCTGACTTTGATATTGATTGAAAGTTGTCTTGAGTTCCATATGTTCTTCAGTTGAAGGAATGCCGCTCTAGCTTTGCCAATCCTCGCCTTGACGTCTGCATCTGAACCTCCTTGTTTATCGACGATGCTTCCCAGGTATGTGAAGGATTCTACGTCTTCCAGAGTTTTGCCATCAAGAGTGATTGGATTGCTGTTCTCCGTGTTGTGTTTGAGGACCTTGGTTTTCCCTTTGTGTATGTTGAGGCCTACTGATGCAGAGACTGCTGCTATGCTAGCTGTCTTTATCTGCATTTGTTCGTGTGTATGTGATAGGAGGGCTAGGTCATCTGCGAAGTCCAAGTCGTCTAATTGGTTCTGAGCTGTCCATCGTATGCCGTAGTTTCTCTCAGATGTCGAGGTCTTCATAATCCAGTCGACCACCAGAAGAAGGAGGAAGGAAGAGAGTTGACAGCCTTGTCTTACTCCGGTCCTTACTTGGAATGCCTCAGTCAGCTGTCCTCCATGCACTACTTTGCACTGTAGTCCGTCGTATGAGTTCCGGATAATGTTGACAATCTTCTCAGGAACTCCGTAGTGTCGAAGAATTTTCCATAACGTTCTCCTATCTACACTGTCAAATGCCTTCTCATAATCAATGAAGTTGATGTAGAGTGACGAGTTCCACTCAATCGATTGTTCGACGATGATCTGTAGTGTCGCAATCTGGTCTGTGCACGACCGGTCCTTACGGAATCCAGCTTGTTGATCTCGAAGTTGAGCGTCAACTGCGTCTTTCATCCTGTTCAGTAACACTCTGTTGAAGACTTTACCTGGTATTAACAGTAGTGTAATGCCTCTGTAGTTTTCACACTTGCTCAGATCTCCTTTCTTTGGAATCTTGATGAGGTGTCCTTCTTTCCAATCCATCGGCACTTGTTCCTCCTCCCAAATCTTCTTGAATAGAAGATGAAGCATGCTTGTAGTTACTTCGATGTCTGACTTCAATGCTTCAGCTGGTATATTGTCAGGTCCTGCTGCTTTCCCGCTCTTGATTTGTCTGACGGCCATTCTGATTTCTTCTGTCGTTGGTGGATTGACATTTATAGGAAGATCTGTGTGTGCTGCTTCGATGTCCGGTGGATTCATTGGAGCCGGTCTGTTCAGGAGTTCCTCGAAGTACTCTGCCCATCTGTTGCGCTGTTGTTGAATCTCAGTGATTGGTCTTCCTTCTTTGTCTTTGACTGGTCTCTCTGGTTTACTGTATTTCCCTGCAAGCTTCTTCGTCGTATCGTAAAGCTGTCTCGTATTTCCTTCTCTTGCAGCTTTTTCCGCCGTCGTTGCTAGTTCTTCCACGTATTTTTGCTTATCAGCTCTAATGCTCTTCTTCACTTGTTTGTTTGCTTCTATGTACTCTGCTTGTGCTTGGACTTTCTCTGCTCTTGTTCGACTGTTGTTAATTGCTGTCTTCTTGTTCTTTCTTTCTTTGATCCTGTCCAATGTTTCTGTAGAGATCCATTCCTTGTGATGATGCTTCTTGGGGCCCAGAACCTCTTGACACGTTGAAGTTAATGTTTCTTTGATACCTTTCCAGATATCCTCCATAGTAGTTTCTTCTTCCTTCAGTAGATCCTGTAGGGCTTGGAACCTGTTGTTGAGAGCTACCTTGAATTCATTGAGTTTGTCAGTATCTCGAAGGAAGGCTGTATTGAACCTTTGTGGTGCTGTTTGTCCAGTTATCCAGTTCTTCTTTAGCTTCAGTTTCAATTTGGCCACAACCAGGTGATGATCTGAAGCTATGTCCGCTCCTCTCCTGGTTTTCACATCTTCCATTGTCCTTCGGAACTTTTTATTGATGCAAATATGATCTATCTGGTTCTCTGTGGTGTAGTACGGTGAGATCCACGTAGCTTTGTGTATACGTTTGTGTGGAAATGTTTTACCGCCTATGACCAATTTATTGAATGCACACAGATTTGCAAATCTTTCCCCGTTTTCGTTTCTCTCTCCCAGTCCATGTAGTCCCATGATGTCTTCATATCCGGTGTTGTCCATTCCGACTTTGGCGTTTAGATCTCCCATCAGAATGGTGAGGTCCTTTCTTGGGCACTTCTCTATGATTGATTGCAGCCTCTCATAGAATTGATCTTTAACGTCGTCGTTGCTATCATTGGTGGGTGCATGACATTGGATAATGTTCATTGTGATACCCTCCTTCTTTGCTTTGAATGATGCTTTGATGATTCTGGATCCGTGAGATTCCCATCCTACAAGTGCATTTCGTGCTACTGTGGATAGCATTAGAGCAACTCCATGAGTGTGTGGAGCATCTTCCTCTTCGTGACCGGAGTATAGCAGCATCTCTCCCGTATTTAGCCTTTGTTGTCCAGCTTGAGTCCAATGGGTTTCGCTGATTCCCAATACTGCCAAGTTGTAGCTCCTCATTTCCGTTGCTATTTGACTGGTCTTCCCGTTCTCCCACATTGTCCGGACGTTCCATGTACCTATAAAAATTGTTGCTCTGGTTGTTAGAAGGGGCATCGGCCTCGTGGCTTCCGAAGGAACTCGGCTTTCACCATGAAGCGTCATATTACCTCTAACTCCCAGGGCAGAGTTTAAATGGTTTTAGTTATTTTTTCTGGTTAGCGTTTTTTTAGCGAGTTAGGTTTCTACGGGATGGGGAAGCTAACCCCATGCCCAACCCTCCTCCTTTACCCGGGCTTGGGACCGGCAGTAACTCTGGAAGAGCTACAGGCGGAGTTAACAAATATAATAATCAACTTAAATGTAAACTAAAATAAAAAAAAGCAGGATTGATGTTATTTAACTAGTTGGAAAACATATTGTAGGACTTGTTTATTGTGATTAATAAGAGAATAAATATAATGTTCACTGTTTGTATTTAACGTAACAGTTCACTCAACGAAAAGACTAACTTTTTTAAGATCTAATTTAAACTATAATATCATCATTGTAAGACAGTCATAAAATATTAATGGAATGAAAGGAATTGTAAAACTATAACATTAATTTATAATAAGGTGCTTTATACGATTTTGATTCTGAAAATCATGTTAATGAGAAAGAGAATAAACAATGATGTTCTCTGTTTTCAAGTATTTCTTTAAATGACTCAAGATTATGATAGTAGTCATTGTCAAATTCAGGGATTGAATAAAATTGAGAAGTATTCATAGAAATTGTGTAACAAGAATACGATAATCTGAAAAGTATTCTGAACCTACCAAGTGCTGTGAAAATGAAAGTAGTTAAGTAGGTGAATATATTTAATTCCTAGTTTAACAATCTTTTTTTCGTACATAAATTAGTTTGTCAGTGATCTTACTTAAGACAATAGAACTGTCGAGTCATAAGCCTTGAATAGTCTTTCACTTGTATTCACTATCTTTGTTTGATAAAATATAGTGATTTCAAAAAACCGTCAGTACTTTGTTGAATGAGCTAGGCACTTTTATAACAAACAGATAAAAATCAGGTAGTTATTGATGTTTCATTAACACAACATGCATATTCCATTTTTTACGACTGAATAAATTCAATTCAATAATAACCAACTTTTTTCTCTTATTGATATACACTGATCCATAGTTCCTTTAAAAATACACAAATAGCTATTAAGAATCTGATCAGCATGACATATTGAATTGGATTTACTTAACTTTAATACTTTCCCCTATGTTCTCGCATATCAAATAGTTTATTCGATGAAAAGTCATCCACATACACACATCAACAGTGTTTTTTTTTAATAATGCCATTCGGTTTTATTGTTAGTTTGTGGAAACTCCTAAAACAAGGTATTTCTGCCAGTTATTATTTATTATTCAATACAGATCAGAGTTACTCAACTAAGTATTAACATTGTAGGGTAGATCGATATGATTAGAATACCATTTAAGATTAACCTTTATTATATTGATCACCATCTAATAGTCGATATATCTAATTAGTCTATTCATCTTTTAGAGTTTATCAATTACCATCAGTAAATTAAAAAATTTTATTCGAAACTTTAATACTACAAAAAGATATAATCTTCAGAATTGTCATAATAATAAAAATTATAATATCATTAAAAAAAGTTTACACAACCTTCAGTTAACTTGAATGTATTTTAATACTTGTAAGTATCTATGCTTTTCAATCTTCAAGTTTTCTCTGCTTTTTGTAAGCTAGATTTACTGTCAAAGAAGGGAATATTTATTTAAATTCATGTCAATTGGTAGCTATTACAAAATCTATAAACTAAAATTGTGAACGTCATTCCTTTACTTATTTTCTTTGCTTCTAAATGCAAAAAATTAAAAATATTTAAGACTCTTCTTAATAAATGACGTATTAGTTTTGATACTTACTTACACGCTTACGCCTGTTACTCCTAATGGAGCATAGGCCGCCGACAAGCATTCTCGAACCCATTCTGTCCCGGCCCTTCTTTTCTAGTTCCATCCAATTCTTGTTCATTTTTCTCATGTCTATCTCCATTTCCAGGCATAATGTGTTCTTTG